CTGCAGAGGTCTACACTCATTTGTTCATTAGGTCATTCATTTATTCAAGGTGTACTTACTGAGTGTCCGCTTGGGGTCAGGCACTGGGCTGTGTCCTGGGCATGCAAAGCTGAATCCAGTGCATGTCTTTATAGAGACAGAGGCAGAGGGAAACACACAGGTAAATAATGTGTGATAAGGAGTGCCTGGGTGGCTCAGTTGGTTGGGCAACCTATTCTTGATTTCGGCTCAGGTTGTGATCTCGGGGTCCTGGGATCAAGCCCCACTTTGGGCTCCATGGGCAGGGAGTCTGCTTGGAGTTTCTCTCTCTCCCTCTGCCCCTCCCCACACTCGAGGGCACGCTCTCTCTCTCCAAAATGAATAAATAAATCTTTAAATAATAATAATAATAATGTGTGGTAAGCACATGGGTACCAGAAGCGGGGTCGAGAAGAGAGCCTAACCCAGACTGGAGAGGGAGATTCACAGAAGGCTTGGCACTTGTAGGAAGTGGGTTAGCCACAAACCACATATGGCTTTTAAACTTTAAATTAATTAAATAATATTGAAAATTCAGGTTCCACTAGCCCCACTTCAGGGGCTCAGTAGCTACATGTATATTACAGAGCATTTCCATCATTGTAGAAAGTTCTATTGGAAGATACTGGTCTAGGCTGAGTCTGACAAAAGAGGAGTTATCCAGGACTGGGGGGAAGGAAGGATGTCCCCAGAAGCTTCTATAAGACAGCCTTTGGATACTAAACACAGTACAGCTGCTGCGGGAGGTGTCCAGACCAGTTCCTGCCGTGCCTTGTCGGTCATCTTGAATTCTCTGCTAAGGACAACAGGAGAGCCGCTGGAGCATTCAGCCAAGTGAGTAGCCTCATCAGATTTGAGTTTTGGACAATGGATTGGAGGAGGAGCAAGGCAGGCAGCCGGAGGACCCATCAGGAGACGGTCCCATTCCTCCAGAATCTTGGGCCAGCCGTAGTGGTAGCAACATGGGTGGAGAGAGATTTAGGGCATATAGCTGACAGATTGGGGATTGTGGTTCATGAGGAAGAAGAGGGAACCAAGCTTAGGGCTTGTGCTACGTGGATGGTGCTAACTGTTCCCTTTGTCTGGTGTGGAATCTGAGGGAGAGGATGAGAAACCTTTTTCTTCAATGTTGGTCCTTAAGGGAGTGGGCTTCAGTGATCTGGAGGCCCGCGTTCCTCGGTAATCCCTGCTCTGTGGCTTACCACAGACCACACTAGAGGGAACACATGGATTTGAGCCTAAAAAGAATTCCTGGGGGCAACTGTGGGCAGCTCTGTGGCTCCAGAGCAGGCAGGAGAAGGGGGGTGACAAAAGCCTGTTGCTCCCCTTTCTCTCTTTTTCAACCATTCCCCTGACCTTTCACGATGCCGCTCACTCCAAAATGGCTCCCCACTCCCGCTGAGTTCAAAGTGTCCCGTAAAACAGCTCCAGTCAGCGTGGACTGTTTCATTCCTCATGGCTCTGTGACGTGGACTCCAGATTCCAAACTTCTCAAATGCCTCTCTTCTTACTTCCCCCACACTCTTCATTTGGTCTGGAATGTCTGTTCCTTTCGTTTCTGCCCCTACAAATTTTAACAGCTCTCCCTTATTCCCCTCATTCATAAAACTCTGGTGGACCAGTCGGATTTTTTTTCAAACAGATTTTTAAAGTAAAGTCGTAGCTACAAAGTCAAAATATATATGTGTATTACACCAGATCATCCACAATAACCTCACATATCATTTGTGGTGTGTCTACTATGTTTTGAAAGATACTACCTCAATCTGCTTGTTCAATGTGCTTCCTTTTTTTTTTTTTAAGATTTTTTATTTTTTATGAGAGAGAGAGTACAAGCAGGGGGAGTGGCAGGCAGAGGGAGAAGCAGGCTCCCCGCTGAGCAGGGAGTCCAATGTGGGACTCGATCCCATGACCCCGGAATCATGACCTGAGCTGAAGGCAGACGCCTAACCGTCTGAGCCACCCAGGCACCCTCAATGTGCTTCTTAAAATTGTTACTTACATAGTTGTCTTATTTTCCCTACTAGACACTCAGCTCCAGACAGCGAATAATATCTTCCTCATCTGGGGGATCCTAAAGCATCTTGCAGAAACACCTTATAGGTTCATTGACTATGCATTCTTAAATCAATAAAGCCTCAATTTGCATTAGGCTTTGTGATCAGTAGCTAGGAGTAAAAAAAGATCAGTAATAAAATTTGGTTTGAATTTTTTAAGACTATTTCTTTATTTTATTTTTTTTCAAAGATTTTATTTATTTATTTGACAGAGAGAGAGAGCACAAGCAGGGGGAGCGCCAGAGGGAGAAGCAGGCTTCCCACTGAGCGGGGAGCCTGATGCAGGGCTCGGTCCCAGGACCCTGGGATCATGACCTGAACCAAAGGCAGATGCTTAACCCACTGAGCCACCCAGACGCCCCAGACTACTTCTTTTTTCAGAGAGGTTTTAGCTTCATAGCAAAACTGAGAGGAAGGTACAGAGAGTTCCCATATGCCCCTGCCCCACACATGCACAGCCTCCCCTATTATCAATAGCAGATTTTCAGGGAAATGGAAACCTTTCTTCCTTAATCCTCTGCCTTCCAGAGAATTCTGTAGTCAAAGAGAAACAGAAGGTGATTTGGCAAGAACATGGAAAAAGGAGGCACATGTTAGTCATTTGAGAAAAGGGAAACACTCGTGTTTACAAGAATCTCCACAGTGTCTGCTCACACAGAATGAAGAATATTTTCCACTTGTTGAAAAATCCAGCCTGACCATATTAAGGTATTCACCAAGAACATGGACTTTATCTCCCAAGACCTCTTGGATTAGTGGGGGAGCTAAGTGGACATGTTTGATGGACACACTTGTTTATTAGAAGTTATGAGACTAACAAGTAAAGTGTGAGGAGAAAATGTAGGAGGATGACATTGGAAAGGTAGTTGGGGAACCATCTGTGAAGGGCTTTGTATACCAATCTGAGGAATGTGCAGAGCAGAGGTGGCAAACTTAAAATCCCACAGAGACCAGGCACATAAATGAGTGAAGCTGACCTGGTAATAGGGAGTGGTGGGGACTGGGGCAAAATGGAGAAGGCTTACCCTGTCTCAGGGAAGCAGCTACTTTCAGCTCTAGCTGATTGTTACTCTGTGTGATTGTTGGCCCACAGCAGCCAGATCTTCCAGTTTTCCAAGAGACTCTGGAAATCCAGGTTTTTATAGGACGGTCCTAGGTTTTTAAAACGTGTGGCCCAAATCCAACTGGCTTTAGAACCCAGTCTGGCTCACAGGCCATACAGCGATCGCCGTGGCAGCTTGGAGGGAGTGAATGAAGTTTTTTTTTTTTTTTAAAGGATATGATCCCATCTGTGCTTTAGAAAAATCACATGGTGGTGTGGGAGAGAAATTACAGGGAATAGATTAGAGGAAAGGAAACCAGTCAGGAAACTCTCTCAATAGTTTCCACAGGTGGGAGGTGGCAACTGTCATGGTGGGGTAGGGGGAATGTGGTTGGGCTGATTTGGAGTCCGGGATTCAGCGGGAAGACCTTGGCTTTAATCAGCGTCTGAAAAGGGGCACCTGGGTGGCTCTGTCAGTTAAGTGTCTGCCTCCAGCTCAGGTCATGATCTCGGGGTCCTGGAATCGAGTCTCGCATGGGGCTTCTTGCTCAGCCGGGAGCCTGCTTCTCCCCTTCCCTCTGCTGCTCCCCCTACTTGTGCTCTCTCTCTGTCAAATAAATAAATAAATAAAATCTTTAAAAAAAAAATCAGCTTCTGGAAGAAGGAGTCTATGCATTCTCTCAATGCATTTCCCACCCCGTACCCCTTTCCTGAGCTAGGAGCTGAAAGGCACAGAGCAGACAGATCACCTCTAAAGCCAAAGGATAGGAAATTTTAGCAAAGACTCTGCTCTTGGGTGCAGTCTAATTTTACCCATGATTATTTTAGAGACAGACTCCTTGACCAACTGCCGACTCTCACTTGCCTCACTGACGGGCTCTGCACGTAGTTAAAATTAAAAGCCTATCCATCATTTGGTATTTGGCTTGTTTCAACAGTCAGTGAGAAACTCAGAGCCAAAGCCTCTTTTGCAAACAGCAGAGAGAGGAACTGGCTCCCCAAGAGGCAGTTGTATGGAGACAGACACATGAGAAGTGACCTCAGATCCATTGCATGGTCTTGCTAGTTATGCAACCGGTCACTTGGGCCCAGGGAAGGATGCAAAGGGCAGGAGGTATGAATGGAGGGAAGGAAAGAAGACGTGCCTCGCAGAATTTTTCTAACACCCAGCAAGTGCTGTTTTTAGAGCTTTCTTTTGTCCACAGACCCTTCTGAGTTTTGAGTGTTGTCTTTCTGGGTGTGGGCAGAGGAAATGGCTCTGAGGAGCTGTGGAGCAAAGCCTCCCCCTCTGGCACTGCCTGGGAGAGCCCCATGGGATGGGGAGAGAACGGGGCAGTCAGGCAAAAGGTTAGGGGAGGAAAGCAAAGGCAGAGGCCCAGAACGGCTCCAGGAAATGTTTGTATTTCTCCACCGGGAGGGAGGACAAACAAGCTTTTTTCGTGCCTTCTGAGCAGCTTTGCACGCTCCCCAGCACAGGAGTCGGAAGAGCAAGAGTGAGGCTGGAAAGAAAAACCATTCCAGAGCTGGACCCAGTGACGGCTCTAGGGCATGGATCTCACTGGACCCGCCTGCCGCGCCCCAGAAATGACCACCTGCGTGTCACAGCCTGGCCGTGCTCCATGCTTCACCTGCTGGGGAGACAGGTAGCGTGGGACAGCCAGCCGAGAAAGGACCTCCCAGAGTCTCTCGTCTCTTTGGCTGAAGTCCCTGCTCGCCTAGCAGTGGCAGTGTCCACCCACACGTGCAGTCGGGACCTGCAGCCCGGGGTGAAGAAGTCAGAAAGCCAGCGGCCGGGTGAGTGGGTAGCATTCAGGGGAGCATCTGTGTCTTTGTGGGGACTCCTGGGGCCACCCGGCACGCAGAACACCCGTCCTCTGTCCACCATGGACAACGGGTCATGCTGCCTCATCGAGGGGAACCCCATCTCCCAGGTGATGCCACCGTTGCTGATCCTGGCCTTCGTGCTTGGAGTACTGGGCAATGGTGTCGCCCTGTGTGGTTTCTGCTTTCACATGAAGACCTGGAAGCCGAGCACTATTTACCTTTTTAACCTAGCTGTGGCTGACTTCCTTCTCATGATCTGCCTGCCCTTCCGGACAGACTACTACTGGAGACACAGGCAATGGGCCTTCGAGGACATTCCCTGTCGGGTGGCCCTCTTCATGCTGGCCATGAACAGGGCGGGGAGCATCACCTTCCTCACGGTGGTGGCCGTGGACAGGTACTTCAAAGTGGTCCACCCCCACCACGTGGTGAACACCATCTCCAATCGGACTGCGGCTGGCATCGTCTGTGCCCTTTGGACCATGGTCATCCTGGGGACTCTCTATCTTTTGTTGGAGAGCCACCTGTGTGTGCGTGGGAACACCATATCTTGCGAGAGCTTCATCATGGAGTCGGCCAACGGCTGGCACGACATCATGTTCCAGCTCGAGTTCTTCCTGCCCCTCGGCATCATCCTGTTTTGCTCCTTCAAGATCGTTTGGAGCCTGAAGCAGAGGCAGCAGCTGGCGAGGCAGACTCGGCTGAAGAAGGCTACCCGGTTCATCATGGTGGTGGCCGTTGTGTTCGTCACGTGCTACCTGCCCAGCGTGTCGGCCAGACTCTATTTCCTCTGGACGGTGCCTTCGAGCGCCTGTGACCCCTCGGTCCATGTAGCCCTCCATGTCACCCTCAGCTTCACCTACATGAACAGCATGCTGGACCCCCTGGTGTATTATTTTTCGAGTCCCTCGTTCCCCAAATTCTACACCAAGCTCAAAATCCGCAGCTTGAGACCTAAGAGTCCAGGACGCTCCAGGACCCAGAGGTCGGAAGAGATGCCAATTTCAAACCTCTGTCGCAAGACTTGTGTCAGCATGGCAAATGGCTTCCAGAGCCAACCCGACGTGCAGTAGGATCTCCAACTGTGCGGAATGGCGCTGAAACAGGCAGACAAAACCAAGGAGGACGGACTGATGACCTAGAAATAGTTCGTGCTAAGGGGGTGAGAGTTTTTGAAAATGCTGCCCTTCCTTGGCTGTATCCTCCTCACTCTGTCTGGAAACGGAATTCAGGTTACTATGCCTTTTTGGAAGGTTCCAGCCGAGAAGTGAGTCAGTTGCCTTTCTATGACCCGATTACAATGACGGGACAAGACATGCATGAAATGGGGCTTGTGTGTATTGGATGGGGCCGTGGGAAGAGCCCGGCTCCTGTGTAGTTTTAAACGGCTGAGGAAATAGGCATCAGTGTGTAAACCAGTCATGTTCTTTCTCTGGGGGAGTCGGTGAACTTAATGACAGCAGTATTTCCCATCCTCTGACCTTAAGTCGTTACTTGTTTTGGAAAGCAGACACCAGAGTAAGTCAATAGCTTTATTTCAGGCTGAGTGAGGCTCTTTAGAGGGGATGTCCTGATCCTGATGATTGTCATCTTCACAGGGTCCCTGTGCGGTATGGTTCTGATTTCTCAGTAGCCCAAGAAGAACGGCAGGAAAACAATCTGCTCTTCTCGGAGCTCCGGTTTTTCTGCAAGTCTTTGCATTTCAGAAGAGGTGCTGGGGGCCGTGCTTACCTGCCCTGATTTTTCCAGTGGGAGCTGAGTGCTTGGAAAAAATCCTGTTGGCCTTTGGGAAGTGCTGAGTCCAGTATGATTGCTTTTGACCGCTTGTTATGTGACTATGAGTTGAGATTATTTATTCATTCATTCTCCAAGTATCTACTGCATGTTTATTCTGTGCTGGGCACTGTGCTAGCATCCCTTTTACCTGGAGGGTCCTTAGTCAATTCCTGTGTGACAGCAAAGTATTTGGGGGGAGGGCAAACAGAGAGGTTAACACTCTCACCCCCTCAGTGAATATAGTTTCTAGACCTGTTCATGGCAAACATCAGTATATTCCACTTGTTTCAGGCTTCTGTACAAACACCAAAGGGTGGAAAAGTTAATGTCCCTTACGCACATGAATTTCCCACACATATACCTGGGGCCCTCAAAGCTAGATGATTCTATGGAATGATAGGCTGCCTCTGCCCTGTATTGAGGGGGAAGGAGTCCAAGCCAACCTTAGCTCTGTTCTCAAGCCACAAGAGTGCTGAAAATCATTCTTGGCTCTTTTGTTTACACTTTCTCAAATTTCCAGGGTACTCTCTGCACCAGATGACCTTCCCAGTTTTTAGTTCTTTGGGCCTCGAAACACCCCTATCGGCTGTCTTTTCTTTCTTTCTTTTTTTTTTTTTTAAAGATTTTATTTATTTGTTTGACAGAGAGGGAACACAAGCAGGGGGAGTGGGGGAGGGAGAAGCAGGCTTCCCGCCGAGCAGGGAGCCCAATGCGGGGCTCAATCCCAGGACCCTGGGATCATGACCTGAGCCGAAGGCAGACGCTTAACGACTGAGCCACCCAGGCGCCCCTCGGCTGTCTTTTCTATTTCCTTTTGCAGAGGCACCGCACAGCCCGGAGGTGAAAAGTATTGGCTCTGGAAAGTCCGACGAACCTAAATTTGAATCCCAACTCGACCACTTACTAGATGTGTGATCTGGGGGCAGATTTTATTTCATCACTCAGCTTCTATTTCCTCATATGTCAAGCAGGAGGAACAATAATGTGGATTTCAAGAGGTTGGTGGGCAGACTCCACGAACGTAAGCTCCCGAAGCATAAGGATTCTGTTCACTGTTACGTTCTCCCCAGGGTCTAGAAGAGTGCCCGCACATAGTAGGTGCTCAATAAATATTTGAATGAATAAACAAGTGTAGGCAAAGCATGAGGCGCTGTGTCTGGCAGGAAGGACTCAATAATATGACTTCTGACATTAACGCAGTTTGCACACAAAGATGCTGAGGCATAGAAGTCATTTCCCTCGGGGTTCAGAGTCCCTGAGTAGCTGCTCTTTTATCACTACCCGAATTTCCCTGCTCCCCAGCTGCCTGGGGTGGAGTGAAAGCAGGATTCTTATCTGCATCAAAGAACCATATATCCTCCTGAAAGAAATCTGTGGAAGCTCACACTTCTGCTTTGGATTCTATCCCTGCTCATAATTCTTTCCTGGACTGCTCCTCCTTTGTTGCTTCATGTTAATAAAAATGGTTTCCTAAAGCAAGGCCACATCCTGTGTGTGATTCATGAAGACTTTACCCTCCAAGAAAAAAAGTGTAAAAAGTCCAGAAGCTCAGGGTAAGCAGAGGTTCTCACAAAAACAAAACAAAACAAAAACAAAAACAAAAAAACCCCAGCAAGAACAAACAAAAGAGAGGGAAAAATGAAAAACCCAAACACAGTTTAGGCTCTAATTTCTCTTCCCTTTTTAATTTCACAGAATGTGATGAAAAAGAAATCTTATCAAGTGTTCTTCAGAAACTGTAAGAACAAGGATTACAGCTTTGTTTGAGTCAACCCTTTGAGCTCATCCATGAAGCTAGAGCCCTAAATTTTATATATGTATTTATACACACACACACACACACACACACGGGTTGAGATGGAGTAGAACAAACAGATGGGTTCACATATGGACCTAACTATATTCACCTTCCAGTGATGATACAGTGGGAAGGGGTTAATATTTTATCCCTTGAAAAGATTCATTCATTCATTCCATCTTTCAAGGAACATTTATTAGGCACCAGCTCTGTACCAGGCACAGTAGAAACACAAATGGAAAACATAGCCCCTGATCCTGTGGGTTCTATTGTAGAAACCAAGGGAAAAAAATCAAATCACCATTCAGAGTAACTGTGTGAAAGTGGTAAGCATACGGGTCTGCAGGAGAGCCCAAGAGCTTCATCCTGACCTCAGGGGTTGGGGAGGGCTTCTCAGAGGAAGTGACTCCTGAACTTAGCCCTGAAGGTTGCAAAGGAGGCAACCAGATGACTCAGTGGGGAAGGTATCCCAGTGAGAGTGTGGTGAGAAAGGTCCCTTGGAAGCTGTGGGAAGGTCAATGGGAAAGGAATGAAAGGTCCTGGGTGGTCTGAGGCAATCTGGGAAGAGGTGAAGCCATGAGATCCCCTGCGGAGAGAAGGTCTGTTCACAATTCCTTTTTTTTTTTTTTTTTAGAGAAGGAGCGAGGGAGAGGCAGAGGAAGAGAGACAAACTCAAGGAGACTCCCTGCTGAGTGTGGAGCCCCACATGGGGCTCGATCTCACAACCCTGAGATCACAACCTAAGCTGAAACCAAGAGTCAGATGCTTAATCAACTGAGCCACCCAGGTGCCCCTCACAACTTCTTGCTGGAAGATTCATGACTAACCTTTCAGATTCTTTGCTTTTTAAAAAAAGAACTAAGTTTCTTTTTTTTTTTTAAAGATTTTTATTTATTTATTTGAAAGAGAGAATGAGAGAGAGAGAGAGAAAGAGAGAGCACATGAGAGGGGGGAGGGTCAGAAGGAGAAGCAGACTCCCTGCTGAGCAGGGAGCCCGATGCGGGACTCGATTCCGGGACTCCAGGATCATGACCTGAGCCGAAGGCAGTCGCTTAACCAACTGAGCCACCCAGGCGCCCAAGAACTAAATTTCATTAATTATCAAAGGCAGATATGTTTTTGATCAGAATTAAAATATATAAAGAAGTTGAAGTCTTCCTTCCATTCCCCTTAATCTCATTTCCTAGAAGTGATAACACTTGCATACAGATGATGAATCTCGTTTTGTTTGCTGAAGTGCGATACAGAGAAAGATAGTTTTTGGGTTTTTTTGTTTTCTTTTTTAGATTTTATTTATTCATTTGACAGAGAAAGAGGCAGGAGAGAGGGAACACAAGCAGGGGGAGTGGGGGAGAGAGAGAAGCAGGCTTCCCGCCAAGCAGAGAGCCTGATGCAGGGCTCGATCCCAAGACCCTGGGATCATGACCTGAGCTGAAGGCAGACACCTAACGACTGAGCCACCCAGGCGCCCCCACAGAAAGATAGTTTTGTATTTTTGTCATGAATAGCTTCTTACATCAGAACAGAGATCAAACTCATGGTTTTTAACTCTATTTCATTGTATAAACAAACCACATATGGTTTATCTAACCAATGCCTATTTATTTATTTATTTATTTATTTAAAGATTTATTTATTTATTTGAGAGAGAGAGAGAGTGCAGGGGGAGGAGCAGAAGGAGAGGGCGAGAGAGAATCCTAAGCAGACTCCCCACTGAGCGTGGAGCCCGACTCAGGGCTCGATCCATGACCCTGAGATCACAACCTGAGCAGAAACCAAGAGTCAGATGCTCAATTGACTGAGCCACCCAGGCGTCCCAACCAATAGCCTTTTAATGAACATTTAAGTGATTTCCAATTTTCCCCGATTGCCACCATGCTATGGTGAATAATCTGAATGATGTGTCTTTGGGCACATGTGCTAGAGTTTTCGAAAGAAGATTTGGAGACATTGAAGTGCTGGGTCAAAGGACAGGTGTACTGGGTGAGGCAGTGCACGCGGTGGCTGAGAGCATACCCTGGAGCCCGACCATCTGGGTTCAAATCATATCTCCTTTACTTACTCGCTGTGTGGCCTCAGGCAAGTTACTTAACCTCTCAATGCTTTACTTTCCTTCTCTGTAAAATGGGGACAAGAATAGTACCTGCCCATAGGGTTGTTGTGAGTACTAAATGAATTTAGATGAATAAAGCACCTAGAATAGTACCTGACATAGAGTAAACACTAAAAAAAAAAAAAAACAAAAAAAAACCCCAAACACCAAAGTCCTACTCCTTTAAAGCGATGAAGTTCAATAATCAACTTTGTTATTGTTGTTTGTGTGTTTGGACTTATGCAAAGGAAGGTTTGCCTAAGACAAGGTTGTGAAGGCTCACTCTTAGGGTTTTCATCTAAGAGTTTTGTCTTTTATTTTAGGTCTGTAATCCATTTTGAGTTAACTTGTGTTTGGGGCAAAAAGGGGCCTGACTTCATTCTTTTGCATGTGGCTATTCAGTTGTCCCAGCAGTGCTGGGACTGATTAAAAAGACTATTCGTGGGGCGCCTGGGTGGCTC